ATCAATTGCAGAGCCACACCACTGCAGTAGGAGACAACGGTTTTCAAACATTTCTCATGGCACACAAAATTGCACACTGAAATAATTAACAAAATTAGCGCTGAAAGCGTAGGCACATTGAAATCCACACAACAGTTTAGGACAGAGAGGATCACGATTTCTGCGCACCTAGAGGCATGACTGCTAAAACCTCCTTGCAACGCGGTCGCATTGCTTCCGACGCACCTCAATCAATACTTTGCACCACATAGTATCTATCATGACTTCTAGCTTAGTATTACGACAAAGGTACCGTTACTTGAAGTAACGGAGAAAAAATTGCAAGTTCGTCGTGTAGGTAAGCATAGTACCGAAATTGACGCCAGCACCAATAGATTTATGTGGAGCAAATTGGATTACCTGCGCTTTTCTATCTTGAAAGACACTGGATAGGGTATGCAAAGTCTATATCCCGGAGATAGGGAGGGCGTGTCCGCGCACTCCATTTGAACGTAGCAGTGAATACGTTTTCATGCAATAATCCTATTTGAGAGAGCCATCCTGTGTGCTCTGAGCTGTTACAGTATGAATCTAGCGTTCAGGCATTCAGTTTTCCAGAAATCCTACCTTCTTTCGTTTCTCTCCCCCGACACCGCTAAGAGAATAGGGCACGTCGTAAGTTGGGAATGGGGGTCGTATTTGTCGCTGGAAGGAGGGGATCGTATTTGGTCTTGCAAAAAAAGCTTTCATTTGTTGACTTTTCCCGTGTTCCCGCTTCACACGTCCATTAGATACCCCCATCCCCGCTAGACAGTTGGCTTTACGGGGAAAAAAGGGAAAATTGGAAGAAACTGGAAAATTCCGGGAAGCTCTGGAAAAGTGGTAGCAACTAGTTGGGAGACTTTGGGAAGATTATAGGTAAGATGATGGGGGAGTGGTCCCCTTAGAAGAGGAAGTTCCGTGGGAGGATCATATTTTTCAGAAATTTTCCCCAACGGGATGACGTGTCCTGCAAGAAATCCAGTTTTGGTAGCTCTGCGCTGCGATATCACAGGTACAGTTAAAGGCAACTGGCACGGTAGAATCCCCCAAGACGACTAGGATCAATACTCCTGGCAGGATAGAATTCCGCGACCCTGGGCAGGCGCTGCATAGCGGTTTCCCCGAGGAAGGTGCCCTTATAAGGGCCCTATCAAGCCACAACTTTACGTCCCAAACGCCCGCCACGCCCGCCCGCCCACAAATGGGTACACATATGCAGCCGTATCTTCGGTAGCGGTGATTGGCAAGATGCCTACGGGAAACTCGTCCGAAATCGATTTACAAGTCACTGAGAACGGAGGCTTTTTCTTCGCAGGATTTTGACCGTTTCACTCCGTTCTTTCGCCATTTCCCCCACGCATACAGCGCCAACTAGCATTTTAGGCTAAGTAGGAAACCATCGGCCACTGCCTCTGACACAGAGGACCGACCTCAACATTTTGGATTTCTTCGCCAAGAAACAACTGCACGCAGGTATTCCAGCTTCTGTCCTACGTTTTTCGAGCATTTACAATATTGTTCTCTTTCGACAAAAATACCAAAATCAAGCTTAAGGTGGTAAATGACAGCACTGCGGCGATTGCACAGCTGGCGAACTGCATGTCCCCACAGGCTGGCACCCTCCCCCCATACCACCCTTTTCAGAGATCTCGCCCTCAAAATATTACTAACTAGTTCGATTTAAAGCATAAATAAAATGGTTACCTTCACATGCATATCCTTGCGTGAGCATACCCCATATTTTATCGCAACAATGATGGCAGTATGTGGGTTTGCCAAATGTTTTCTTGGCGAAGTAATGGCCATGATCGCGACCTATTCCGAGTAGGTTCGCGTCGACATTGTGGCCTTCCGCCGTCATCGAGCCGTCTCTCTGAAAGAATAGAAAATGTTTATACCGCTTTATAAACACATATGGTCTAGTAATGTTGAGCTGTCCTTCACATGTCGCTGCGTTGATGCTTTTTGTGGCGTGGCTTGGCATTTGGCATAAATGCCGCCCAATTATGTAATGAATAAAAGAAATAAGTCAAAGGGAACCTAAAAACTAATGTTTCATCCGACCGATTGAGTGGCATAACTATGGGCTCAAGCATAGTCCCTTCTCCATTACAGGAACGCGAAAGATCCGATTTTAATAATTACAGTAATGATGTATCCCTTCCCGAAGAGACGTATGCTCGCTAAGGAACGATATTTGCCCAAGTAACCCACAATACTACGAAATTAACTTGTCTCATGCTTCCTAGAACACTCGACTATCCTCTTAGGATGGCGCATGGTGCTAAGAAATTCCTCTGAGGTAATGCTCAAGGTCTGCGTAGGGTTACGAGTTACGAGGAAAAGTTTTTACAAAATACGAAGCCCCGATTTCCTTCCACACCTCCCCACCTCTTCCCCCCACCCTATAGCTTCCTACCACTTTTCCGGAGTTCTTCTTTGAAATCCCTCCGAGGGAGGGAGGCGGGAGGTTATCAAACCTTTTAAGCAGAGAAAAACCAACAATTTAACCGAAAAAATTTTCACGAAGGCAAATACGACCTTTCCCATCTCCTTTCTTCCTCCAGTGACCCCAGCGACCGGATCATACTCCGCCTCCCTGAGAAACCCGGCGAGGATGGCCTTGAGTCCAATATACCGAGCTATTTATATGGTCCTAGAACTGTGAAGACTACGTGCACATAGACCGTTTGCCCATGAAATGCAGCCACTGCGGAGGGTGGGGGTGCGGGTTGGAGAGGAAGGGGACCATAGCAGTTTGGCCTTTCATTTTGTGATTTGTTGACAGTTTATTGTAAGTCCCCAAGGCGCATTTTACTCTATGTGATTATAGCTCAAAGTGCTCTCTCTACCCCTCCCCCTCCGCCTATTACTGACAGTACTTTTTAGAGGGTGGGGGGGGCTTATGGTGAAGTCCGGCCGATGAAGCGCCTTACCCGGTCCTTCCTCGCCCTAAAGGTTCAAACGAAACTCATTCCTAGCCCTTTGAATCTCCCAGCACTAAGTGCTGCTCAAAAATTCGAATATTGAAGAGAACACGCAAAAACGAAACCAGTAGCGTTACAGGACCACGTCGAAATGGCACAGTATATTAACAAGACCTTGCAAGGGACCCGGTATATTAGACCAGAGCCGACATAACGAGTTTAGTGAAACGAAAAGTTCAAGATGAAATTCCAAAGTGCACCTGTCTCTCCTAAACGGAAGAATTTCTTAAGCTGGCATCACCGACCTATTTCCATCTGAAAAGAAACCATAAGAGATCAAATAAGAGAGTGAAAAAAAACTGCACACGTGAAATATCTTCGAAAATATGGAGACGAACAGAAAATAGAAATCTTAGGGGTACAATAAGCTCAACACGCCTCGGAGCGCGTGACACACATGCGCAGTCACATATATTTCCATGCGCAGCACTTCATGTTATTTATGTGGCATTTCTCTTCAGTTCTAAAGTCGCC